TGAAATATTTAAAAATCTGTTTACTTTTTAAAAACATTTTAGTGTCCCTAATGCTCTTCTGTATTTGGGACACTCTAGTCATACAGCAAATAGTGAATGGACATAGAAAGTCAACAGTCATGTGATTCCTGCAGGCTTTTGCCTCATGACATTGTTTATCTTTGAAATTTTAGAGCTGTCCCACCTCCAGACTTTGCATACATGAGATGTTGGAGGGTGAAAAGAATTTCAAATTTCTAAAGATGTTAGATGACTTCATTATCAGTTTTGACCGCAGCATCTTCATTCATATGTTTGCTTCCCCCCCCCCAACACACACACTTTCCAATCCCAGAGACATGCCTGAACCTGTGTCCCCCCCCAGTGTCAGGGGGGATTTATTATTTTCCCCCATCCCCCTTCTGTCTTTTCCTCTTTTGAGTGTTGGTAGGGGGACTGAAAAGGGATATGCCCATGAACCTCCCCCTCCCCTCTATTCACAGCAAATCTGCTCCTGAATGAAATTAGTGTTTTCTGGTTGGGAGGGGTTTCCATACTTCCCAATTTTGGCATTCGGTTATGCAAGTCATCCAAAAGAAGGCGCAAATTAAAACACTTCCCGCTCATGCAGACGGAAAAAAAGACTTACCCTACCCATGTGTGCGTCTTCTCTACACACTGAGATCATATCAAGTTACATGTTAGGCATTTCCTAACTCTTTTCACAGCCGTGCAGATAGCAGTTGCTGTTTGACAAAACACCTGCTGCAAAAGGAGTCGGTTTAAGTAGCTTGGATAAAGTCTTGTAATTAAGCATAAGTTTAGATTTCCATCATGGAAACTCTGTGCACAGTTAAAAGCTTATACAAGCAGCTAAACGAGAAAGGCGACACTTGTAAAAGCCGGTCCTCACTGTTATATTAACAAGGAGTTTACTATTAACCACAGGCATCCTTGAAGTGGGCACAGTTCAGATTGGGTTTTATAGCCTGTTAGCATTGTTGCTTGAGAGGCATATATAAAGTACAGCAAGGGTGGTGCTGGACAGTGACTTTATCTCTACAGCAGGGATTAAACCCTGACTATTGATCCTTAGGTCTCACATAAGCTGAAAAAAACAAGCATAAGAGAAAAAAGTTTACAGCCTCTGCAACCAGTAGGATGCTTGAATACACATTTGAATCAGCTGTAAGGCGATTGCTTGAGATGCATTTGATTAACTTAGTGCCATCTCTGTTGAGGCGGATAATTCATTTAAACCATTTTGCTGCAGAAGTCATTTTCTCACATGACTTGGGGATCACATTTGAACACTCAGCTATCACATTTTCTGCAGTAAAACATCCTATTGTTAAAAGACCAGGGGAATGGGCTGATGGGAATGAAGCGGCGCACTGTTTTCAGGAAGAACTTTTTTTGTCTTGTGACCTGGCTGCTATCTGGAGTTTCTGATCTCAAACAGGAAAAGTCGTCCTTCCTCATTTGTAAAGTACAATGAAAGAAGATCTGTCCATTAATCTATTTATTTATTAAAGCTCTCTCAGAGGTGTGTTTTGGGTTTAATCTTTTCACTCTGCTTTTTAATTCCTAAGGATTTTAATTCCTTTGGATGTGATTACATTTAAAGTTTGATCAACTTAAAGTTTTAATTATCGTAAAAGGGATTAATGAATGTGAACCAGTACTGTAATTTAAAGCAAATACTCTCTACTTAACAGATGATTGATTAGAAATTCTTTCACCATTAGCTTATTCTTCATATTATCAGATTTTAAAAAATCTAAAGTTGTTTTGGGTTTTTTTTTATTTATGGAGCAAGGCTGCGGTTTTTGTTAGTGTTGGAGCTCTGACTGGTGGATACACTCGGATGCTGTGTTTATAACTCAATTATAGGGATTAATTCATAATGACACAGAGACGCTTAAGTGAGTCTTTTGTTTGTAATTTTGTAAATCTTACAAGCAGCTGCTGCTGTGTAGCTTTTGGAAGTGGAAAAATACCAAGCAACTGAAGTGGCACGCTCTGCAACCAGCTGTCATGATAACCGTTCTTTTGTTCTTTTTTTTTCTTTCTTTCTTTCCCAACTGTTTTTTTTTTAAGTTATCAGAGGATGAGCTGACAGGAGGATATCAATCTGTGGATTCTTTTTTACTGTTATACTGCGAGAATCTTTTTCCAGCAAAATTAATCTGAGAGGATTGGATCTGTTTTCCAGGCTTTATTCTTTGTCGCTCATTTATGCGGTGGACGGCTATGTTAAAGTCGTAGGGAAATAATATTTAAATGTCAAATCATTCTGGCTTAAACGTGTATACAAATATATTCTTCATCTAATGATATTGTCCCAAAATTTTGAAAATTTCAATAAAAAAAAATCCTCTCTTAAAATCAGTTTTTTTACGTCAGCCTGAACACCTAAATTCGACCAATCATATGTCAACGGTCATCTGTCAATCTATTTTGTTCAGTCATAGCATCTTATTTCATATGTTGCAGCCAATATACGCAACGGTTGAAATAAGAATCATTTCCTTTGCCATTGAGTTCTGTCCCAGTGTTCACCGGGATGGACGTCTCTGTCTTCGGCAGGCGTAGAGATAACAGAACTGGCAGCGTTGCGAGGCAAGGGCTCAAACATGTACGGATGTAAGCCTTCTGCACCAAACTAAGCTTCTGCCGCCCTGGCGTCCTCTTCCACAACATTTTCGTCACCACTTTCCTCCTCTAAGTAAAAAATGGATGACGGAGGAGACTCATCCACGACCTCCGACACAAAAGTCTTCTCTTGCATGTTTCCGCTGTCCTTAGCGTTCCTTGACAGTGTCGTTTCTAAGTCACCAATTTAGTGCTACTTGGTCCCAATGGAATTTTCCATTGGGAATCTAGTAGCACTAAGGTGCTAACTGGTTAGCAAGATGCTTCTGACAAACCAGCCACAACAAAACTTGCTTGCAAACCTTGGCCACAACAATCCCGCTCCCTTGATAAACGACCAATCACATTAACTTTATTCACCTGTGTAAAGTCGGGCACCACTCGGGAGAATTCAGAAATGCAACCTTTGGAACAGCCGCTTCCCTACGACTTTAAGTGTCCTCCTGAAAATCACTAGCAGACTTTAAAGCTGTGTTGGTCTTTCCTTCAGTTCTGGATTCTACGACTTGGACCTTGTTTCACAAAGCAGGTTTAGTGAAAACTAACTTTTTCTAAACCTAATATCTGGGAAACTTAAGTTTTCTGTTTCACAAAGAGAGTTTACTCAAACTCTGTTTTTATTACCATGGTAACATTCTCCCCAGAGCTAACCTGGTTGGGAGCAGGTTTTGTTCAGTAAACTTGTCTTTCCTCTCCACCCTACTTTGGGCTTATCATGTTGTTTTATTTCCTTAGTCAGGAGGTTTTTGTCGTAGTTTGGTGCAAACGATAAAATCTGTTTATTAGTTTTCAATTGATCCTGCTTACAAACCAATAGCGTTCCCTTTTCCCGTGTTTTTTTGTCTTCAGTGAAATACCTCAGGACATTTTGAGTCTGATGTAGTCAATAGTCACTGCTGCCACCCTCTGGTTTAGCGGGGAACTGCTTATTCCGACAAATATCCCCATCTTACAACGTTAGAGAATCTTTAAAAAAAAAAAATAAATTCTATATCTATTACAATCTGGATCATCACCAAAATTGAATAGATTGTTCCTTGGTTCCTCGAGGGACACATTTTCAAGTTATCCTGTACACAGACAATCGCATACACAGACCCTCTTAAAAACCTAGCCTCCTTGGCGGAGGTAGCAACTTTGCCTCTGGCTGCCTGATAGATCAGATATCAGTTTCGGTAAAGACAAGGGATAAGATACAACTACAAATATTAAATTGCAATCTTAAAGTGCAATTTCTGATGGTGAAGTGAAATGACATTCTTACTTGAGCCTAATAATTTTCATGAAATATAAGATCAGTGAAGCATTGAACATAATTTTAAGCCTTCCTAATAGCTCTTTTGAGCAGAAGGGAAAACTGGTATATTATAGACATGAGATTTTAGAATGTCTCAAGAAAATGATTTGGCCACATTCTTAAATCTGGGAGTTCTGGATCCCAATATTTGCAAACTCAACATGTTCTTTAACAGACAAGGCAGCGAAAGTTACTGTCATCGCCTGGCTCTGCCTCTGTCTAGCAGCCAGAATGATCCCCAGGCATGTCTTGTCTTGTCATAGAAGATACAATTTCACTTTAAAAAGCTTTTTACACCCGTTACCCCCTCTTATACTGAAAGTCTCTCATTTTCAGTCTGATGTCTTTCCTTAACGACTTCCACCTAAATGAGGGATTTCGTCAGCTATTCCTGTAAACGATGGTGCAATCACAAATAGAAAAAAGAATCTGATTATTATCTTTTTAACTGGCTGACAGTATATTGGGGCTGATGAGGCTGAAGTATAATTAATCTTGCTTGAAATTAGAGATGCACCAATCCTCTACCTTGTAGGTCTTCAACAGGGGGTCCAGAACCCCTAGGGGGTCCATAGAGGTATGCAGTACCTCTATGGACCTCTCTGGGTCGTAAAAATGTTGGTTGATCAGTTGTTGTTTTTTTGTTTCCCCCCCCTGCAATTTTTTCTACTAATTGAAATGTCTTTAAATACAAATTAACATGAATTCAACACACTGTAGTAAACAGATAAATGGAGGCAGAAGATGTCTTTCAGTCATCAATGCACACATTCAGTGACACACAGGAGCTCTTTCAAGCTGGGGACCGTTTCATTTACAACACCTGTCCCATCTACCAGGAATCAAAATCAGAAATACAATTAGCTGGATCGGATATCGGTACTTTGCTAAATGCACTGGATCCAATCCAGTGCACTTTTCATGAAGCTGTTATTTATTTTACTGATTATTTGTTAATAATAAATATAAAGTACATTTATATCTGTGTTAATTTACCTTTTTTCTTTTTAACAATGTTTGTCACTTCACTCATAATAAAGGGTTTATTCTTTCAACAGTTGAATCGGATCAGTGGTGGCGAGGCATCAGATTTGATTGGAGAAAAAAAAAACTGGAAAGGAGCATCTCTACTTTAAATGCCTTTTTTTCTGTTTAACTAGTTCCTAATTATATAATTGAAAATGCTAAATATCAAAGATACTTAAAAAGCCAATATCATGAGAGAAATTTAACCCACAAAATGCCTAAAAAGCGAGTGATCAAGACCTTACAATGTAGGGAAATGTTGAAGCGGCACAGCTGTGTTGGCCTCTGATTAAACAGCAGGTTTCTTTTTTTTTTTTTGCTATTTACACAAAAGCTGGAACACTTTAAGGTCAGATGGCATTAGACGGATCACGTTTATTCTAACTCTTTGTTTATATAATTTAACCCGCTTTGCACAGCTAAATTAGTCAGATTTGTCTTTGAACTTGTTGCTACACATTAAGCTAGTGTCCATTTATACCATGACGTGCAGATGTCACATTTTTACTGATTTTCAGTCTTAAAATTAGAACACGGAACCTCAACATAAATGCTTTATGTCGTATCAACAAAGGATTTGTTGCCCCCCCCCCGTTTAGTAATTACAAAGCAGAGCTGTCACAGACCAGTTATTATTAAGGAACCAGCATGTTGGAACTTATGCAAATTTTGCTAATGTGTGCACATTTCCTCATCTGCCAGTTCACCAGGGTAATGCATTGTTCCAACACACATGGTCCCGTGTTTGCTTATTCCCATGGGGGGAGTTTCATATTTTGTTTTGGAAGCTCAAGGACGTCTATGGTCAAGAATGATTGATTAGGAGCTGTTTGCCTCAAACTGTGGTTGTGGATGTATGAAGTGGTGTTTTTAAGAGGTTCTCCTTCTCTTTTGTGACATCCATTATTTAGGATTGTGTGTTTAAAGATGCAGCACTTGTTTGATAAAATCTGCTGGTTAGCGCTTTAATGTCACAGTAAAGATATGGTAAATTAGATTCCATTGAAATTAAGCAGATTGGGTCCCTGCTGAAGTTCATGCTTTAATTACTTTTGGTTCATTGTCAAGGGTTAAGTTGATAAATAATCTGAAATAAATTTAAAGGTATTTAAAGGTAGATATTCTTTTTCCAGATGGATCGTCAAAGTGATCTTTCTAATTGTCAATTTATTCTGGTGAGCTGTTTACGTAAGGCCGTCTGATGTGCTCGTCCCCATTTTCACTTACCAGTGGTGAGTCTGACATAGTGGGAAAAACTGCAAATCCTCTTTTGGAAAGTAAGCTTGGATGAGCGATGCAAACAACAACTTTTAAACCAAGCATGCACAAGGTGTAATGGGCTCGTGCACCCTCTTCCACGCGTTTAATAGGTGTTACCTTTCGGGAGCAGGTGCAGGGTTGTGAATGAGCTTCTCTTTTTTTTTTTTTTTTTTTGTAAAGAGGGCGAGTCTTTTCAAAAATTCTCGAAAATCCTCCACTGTACTTTTAAGAAATGGTCCATAGATTCTAATGAAATATATTTCTACAAAGTTATATTCCATTAAGTTTTTTTATTTTAATATTTATATTTCTTTTGTCCGCAGGCAGTGTCTGATGCTGCAGGCCAAGGGGTGACCATAACTGGCACCAAGCCGTTCAACAATTGGAACTGGCCAAATGCCGTCATCTTTGCCGCCACAGTTATCACCACCATTGGTAGGTTTGATTATCAAGGCAACTTCTGAAGCCCTCTATTTATTAGAAAATATTTATGCTTTTGGATATTCATTTGCACAAACATGCAAAAGTTTATGTGACTGTTTTATTTTTTTAAACTGGTATCTGGGTCAAAATTGTGTAGCTTACAATTAGGGCTGAAACAATGAATCATGATTATTTGACTATTGAAATAATCGTCAAGTAGTTTAGTGATAGATTTATTGTTAACTGGAGTGTAGAGACTAAAATATCCATTTAGCTGACAGAGCAACCCACCTTGAGCAGCAATTATACAAATATGCCCATTTTGCATTTAAGATATGCTCTATACAGATCTACACAGGTGGAAAATATTTAGTTTCTCCTGCATTATTTTTGTAGAGCCTTCTTTAAGGAACCTTTTGCTGATTATTAATCGATTGAACAAACAAATGGTCGACAGATTAATCAATTTGCAAAATAATCGTTAGTTGCAGCCCCACTTACAATCAGAGCATTTAACAGAATTATACAAGGGGGTGCAGTAGAAAAATCTTACTAAAACTTACATAAGCACAGTGAATGTTCAAAGGATTAATCCTTTGTTAGCCTTATAATTCAAACAAAAATGGATACAACTTCATGAGATGTATTTAATAGCGCTAAGATCTAGTAAATAAACTTAATTTGGATGTAATTCTTAAGGAAACACAAAAGGAATGGCACTGCCATCTGGAACTTGGTTTTTAGCTTTTTTTGAACAAATGTGGATGGGAAAATGATGACTCAAATCTTAAAAAGATGTAAATATCTTTAGAGTTTTAAATGAAATTCATATTTTTTTCTCTTCGAAACCCAATCAGTTAGGCTTGTTTTTCCGTAATTGAATTACTCTACAGGTAAACTAGTTCAATTTTGGTCTATTGCCAAAAAATATTTACAAAACCATTTTTTTATATAATCAGTTAGTTGGAAGATATTTAAGAAAGTGATCATTCATTTAAAGGATTGTCTACAAACAAAAATGAATGCTAATACTTAAATATCTAAATAATTTATTCAGTTGTGGTATTTCTGGATACAACGCAGTCTTGGGTAGGGCTGCAACTAACCATTATTTTGCAAATCAAATAATTTGTCGATTATTTTTTCGGTTAATTGACTAATAATTGGATAGCTAAAGGTTCCTTGAAGAAGTCTTTTCATTAAATGAAACCAAGTGAAACTCAACTTTAGGAATAAAGCATAATGACAGATGAAATTTGTTTCTTTATCTTAAATGCAAAATGTTTTTGTATTTTGTTACAATTTTAGTATAATTGCTGCTCTAAGTTGTGGCAAAAATATGCCTTTGGGCTTCAGCCTATTCCTTTTTTCGGTTGTTGGGTGATGGATTTTTTTGTAAAAAATATTATTTTATTTTTAGTCTTTAAACGGAAATAAATTAGTCATTCATTAAAAAAAAAAAAATTAAAAAGTTGGTCGCTCTGTCAGCTTAAGGCATGTTTTACAGTCTCTATACTCCAGTTAATGATTGATCAATTACAAATTTAAAGAGAAAATTCTTTCAACAATTGATTACCTTCGATTTATCTGATTATTTCAGCCCTAAATTTGTGTTTTTAGTTCTTTAAAAGCAGGAATACCCTCTAAACAGGTGTATCTTTCTAGGTGTTCTACTGTCATACATCTGTGGAAGCTTCTGTTTGAAGTTAATGTGATTGCTTTTTGATTTTTCTAAAGGATATGGGAACATCGCCCCTAAAACCTCAACTGGCAGGGTGTTTTGCATTTTCTACGGACTCTTTGGAGTGCCACTATGTCTTACCTGGATTAGTGAACTGGGAAAGTTCTTTGGTGGCAGAGCGAAGCACCTGGGACAGTATCTAACCAGAAAGGGGTTTTCATTGGTGAGTTAAAGATAGATTTGAACCACCGACACAGCCCTACAGGAAGCATATATTTTCAACCTAAATGTGTTCTGTTTTTGTTTTTCTCCAGAGAAAAGCCCAGTTTACCTGCACAGCGATTTTTCTTCTCTGGGGTGTGCTGATCCATTTAGTCCTCCCACCTTTTGTGTTCATGTCTCAGGAGGGATGGACCTACATCGAAGGGTTGTACTTCTCATTTGTCACCTTGACCACAATCGGTTTTGGGGACTTGGTTGCAGGTAAGGATTTAAAACAATTTAATACATCAAAAACTGAATAAATCAGAGTTTCTACATAGTATAATAATGCATAGCTGTTGTTTTTTAAGTCGTTCCATAAAGAAATTCTGAAGTATTCTGTATTTCTGCAGGTGTGGATCCAGAGAAAGTCTATCCAACTCTGTACCGTTACTTTGTGGAAGTATGGATCTATCTGGGGCTTGCCTGGCTGTCGTTGTTCTTCAACTGGAAAGTGCGGATGGTGATCGAGGCCCACAAGGCTTTGAAGAAACGGCGCAAGCTGCGAAAGCTGTCACTTGAGGAGATGCGCCACTACAAAGAAGCACACAAAGCTTCTCTCCGCTTGCCGCCCACTCCCAATGATGTGAACATCTTCAGCTTCCTGTCAAAGAAGAAGGAGGGCTACAATGACTTGATCAAGCAGATTGGCAACAAAAAGGAAGGTAGAGCCAATTGTGGCTCATGTGATTCAAACAAAAAGGCCAAAGATATGAATCGCTCCAAGAGTTGCAACGATGCTCCAGTGTTTAATGGTCACACCATCCTCAGCCTGGACCGGTCGCCGCGCCAAAAGAGACGCTACAGTTTTAGTGACCGTGTCACTGTTGCCTTTTCGAAGTCTAAGAACTACCTGCTAGGCTCAGATAATGGTTTGCTGCTAACAGAAGATCAGGTGGAGGGCGACCCAGATCTAGAGCAAAATCGAATGTATGAAAACCAACTCGACAAGGATATAGACGCGGAAAGCAAGGCCACTGGAGACCATGGCGCGGGATGTCGAAGGACGTGGGACTCTAAAGATTACCATTCTTTAACCTTCCAGAACGCAAACATAACTTTTATCGATGAAGAAAACTTTCTTGGCAGTAACTTTGAGGAACTGGAGGAAGACGACGCAGACGATGATGACTCAAAGGCAAAAATCTCCATCACAACGTGTGACGAAAACATCGAAACAAACTCCAAGGAGGACCAGAGTTCAGAATGCGATGGCTCTGTTTTTACGACGGACTGTTCAGAGCACAGCCACTCCTATGAGAAGCTGGTGGAGGAATACACGAAGGAAGACAACACTGAATCTTGAGCCGTGAAAACCGGCCATCATGGTTGATAAAATCTCTATTCATCTAGTGTTGGCTGGAAGGATGAGTTTTTTTTTGTCCAATGTGAAATGTTTGAGTGGCTATGAATCATCATAACATACTTTGAAGGACTGTAGAGCTGATAACTTTCAAATGGGGGATCAAACTCAACAAATAATGAACAAAAAAGCAGGAGATGTCGCCTCATTAATCAACATTATTTATGATTTTCTTTTTTTATACGGTTTGAGAAAGAGTCACAAGTGTCTACTGATGCATTCAAACAAGCAGTTGTTCATGAGTGATTTTTATTTCTGCTCATTGGCTGAAGTTGTATGTGGAAATTGGTTTGATTTTCCCATTGTTTAAACTATTTCTATCCACCATATTGGTGCTTTTAATGATATTTATTCAAATGAAGGACATTGTTGCATTTGTTCAGTTGCTTTGTGGGTTTCTGCGTCTGCCGTTGCACAATTTCAGTGAGATCAGGGTGTGTTAAAGTCCACTCCAGGGCAGACTTGCTTTTACAACCTGAGCCAAACCTTCGTCTTAAAGTGAAGGTGTGAAGGACAATTTTTTTTTCTGTTTCTTTGGTATTTGATTTATTAGGCTAAGCTCTTGATATCTTATAGAAATTGGTATTTATATTATCAGCAACCAAACTGTGATGTCTTCCATCTGAGCCCTTGCATCAAATGAGAGAGGAAATATATTTTAAAACGGCAAGGAAATGTAAGCTGAGTTGAGCCATTTGCTGTTTTTACTTTACTCTTTTCTGCATCCTAGTTGACAGCGCTGCAGCCTATAATTCAGGGGCTTAAGTAGGACAAAACTTTCACAGCAAAAACATTCTCATGTTCTGTCTCTAGCAGCCTTTGAAGTGATTGTGTTTGCCATGTCAATATTGGCCAAGAACCCGCCGGTAGCCACAAAGTTGGCCCTGGCCGGGACATGGCCCCGCTGCCCATGTTTGCCTTTGAGGGGCTCGCAGCAGCAAGAACGAATGAAGTGCCCCTCTTGACGGGTAGCGAAGGTTAACCTGTGGCAAATCGATAACCTCTTACGTATGTCCTTCGTATCGGTGCTCCCCACACGTTGCACAAAACGGAGATCTTCAAACTCCAATTTTCACATGTTTTTAAAAAACAAAACATAAAATGCACACAGATATTTTGCTAATCCGCGGCCTTTTGCACACAAAGTCTTGCACAAAGATTAAATATGGTGTTACTTGGAGTGGTAAAAGCAACAATCTCACAATGAATCTTTTCTTCTTTTTTTTTTTCATTCAAGCCAAAAATTTTTGAACAATGTGCTTTAAAGTGGTCCTATTTCAGGGTTTTGTTTTTCATTGAAACGCATCAAATGCACATTTTGACCAATATTACTGCCTTTATATGAATAGCCTTACGTCCACTGCATAGCAGGGGGTGCACAATAAGAAACATCCATTGAATGTACTCTGCAACAACTCACCAGTATGTATACCGTTTGGGTTTTTTTTACACTTATTGTGGCATTTATATTTCGTCTTTGGTAAATTTCATCACCTCTCCACATCTTGAACCTTTTTTTGTATTATATTTTGTAAGCAATCTCTTTTCACTTTTTTTTTTTTGTTATAAACCAAGGTACTGCTTTGGATTGAATTTCTGAGAATATATCCAAGTTCAGATATGTTTTCTCTCCAGTGTGTTAAACTCCATTGTAGTTTTTGTGTTATGTGTGTTTTTTTTAAATGTTTAAATTATTTGTATTTGTAAGTTTTGTACATAATTTTCAACAAAAATGTATATTTCTTGTCAAATAAAAATTCAACATTAATATTTTGTTCATGAAATGCTTCCTCTTAGCCTTAGAATGAACGCAGTGTAGGACTTATTATTATTTTTATTTTTATTTTTTTACAATTTTAGATTCCGATTGAACAATTTGGCAAACTTTTGTTTTTGTCAGTGACCAACAATGGAAAAAGGCAGTAACACTATTGGAGCAAATTGTCACAGCAGCTTCATCTGTGCTTGAAACTTGACATTTTGATGCAAAACATACACACTTGGTATGCAGACATGCAGCTTTATAGGTAGAAAGTCATCAATGTGTAAACCATATTACAAAACAGAAAAGCAACCTTGGCGCACACCTTCAAATTCTACCTTCCTGCCATTTTTACAGCCCTTCTCAGGGTAATGTTTGATTAAAATCTTTCAGTCACAGCAAGACGGTCTGAAAACAAACCAGTGCTATAAAAGCAAGATGCATTATCACAAGCTAAAGTCTCGGCATTACAGGTTTGCATGCTTAAAGATCTCTTGATAAGGCTAAATTTAGTTATACCTAAACAAGCTGGTACATGTATTTTGCAGGAAAGTGAATACACTGTTTAGAGAAAATGGCATTGAGACCCAGTTTTGGAAATGTAGTCAACATTTGGTCCCAGTGTTATTCATTTTACAGATTGACTGCACAGCATTTCCATGTGTAAAATTAACCCAACAAATATGATTTTGGTAACCAGAAATGTCTCTATTAAATCATTCTTAAAACTTACCTCAGAGATTGATACTTTTCGGTTCAGATCGGATGAGATAAAACTCAAGAATCCAATTTCTATCAGCTAGACAGCATTTTAACTGAACAATGGGGGGAAAAAAAAAAACTTGAAAATCTAGCTCTAGCAATGCTTAATGAGCAGAGCACAATCTCTAAAACAAATGGGATATTAACATATCAAATATCTAGAATAACAAAAGCCTTTCTATCTCTAAGAAGTCAAAATGAAAGTTTGCTATTGTCTAATTCTGAATTCTAATAAACAGTTTGAATGGAAGAGAAAATAAAGTATAGACTCAAAGAACCACTCCCCATCCCCCCTTTGTGGTCTGCCTATCTCACCAGACAGCAGCGTTAAGAAAAGATTGGTGTGGTCCCTGAGGAGCCCCAGTTCCCTCATTTCATGAGAGGACCAGATAACAGTTTACTCTTGGCACAACAGCTGGGAGGGAGGGAACTAAAGAAAGACGGATTACTGGAACTAACTAGATGAGGAATATAAAGGGGATCAGAGCTTCAGAAGATCTGTGTTAGGTTGTGTATCCCTCCACAATGGAGGAGATGTAATAAAACAAAGCATTCCCTTTCATAATGTGACACAATTGGCAATCTGTTTAGATTTGTGGTTACTTCATTAGATTGATCCATTGAAAGTCTTGGTGGGGGTTTGTCTCAAATTATTTTAGATTTTGTGACTAAAAAGTTTTTTTTAAATCCAAATGAAAGACTTAGCAAAGTCGTAAAACTCTTGTTTTGAGATCTAGGAGGAAAACAGACATGAATACATTTTTTCCCCCCAAGCTTTAGTTTCACAAAGCCCTTTGGATTAACCTGCAAATGGGACACTTCTGTTTACTAAAGCTCAAAGCTGTATGTGCTTTGTTTAAAAAAAATATCCCTTTTGTTTAATGTTAGTTGGTAAAAGATTTCAATTTTTATGAAGGTCTGAGTTTTATCTACTGACTTATATGTCTTGCAGTACATTTCCCATGCAGAAATGTTCTATTCATTTGGGAGATATTCTCCAAAACAAACCAAACAAACTCTTTCATCTTTTCTCCTTTCCTGTTCTACTTTCCCACTGCAGTGACCATATAATCTATAATACTCCCTGCATGAATTATAATAAAGCTCTTTACATGTATAAATCAAGCGGAACACTATGACGATAGCCGTACTGCTCCACTTGTGAGGAAAAATCTGTTGGACTCTTTTTGGCATCAAGAGAATTATTCTAATTGCCACATTTCCAGGCAGGACACTGTAAAAAAAAAAACAATCCAAACAAGCTGAGCAAGGTTACATGAGTAAAGTGTCCATGAATTGACGACATGCTAATTTCCTGGTTCTTCTCTAAATAGCCCCGAGGTTTGCCTGAGGGATATTCTCATCCTGAAAAGCCCATTTTTGTAACTACATACAATAAGACAAGTTTTAGTGAAACATTGTATGTGGAGAGTAGACACTGATACAGTGTATTTAACTTCAAATAAAAAAGAACAACACTGTTCTGCGAACCCTCCTTCGAGACTGATGGTGGTGGTTGTAAACTGAACACTTATGACTGTTTCACAGATTTTCATTTTTTTTTCACTGAATAAGGAATATCAGCTCCTAAAACAAAGACAAGTCTATTGACTTCATTTCCTTAGTTTCAGGCACCATTTGCTGTAACTGTTAAAGAAATCAGACAGTTCATGTTTGGTACCCATTGTCATCTAAAATAAGTCACAGACATTGTCAGGATGCCAGGTCTTCATGTTGGCAGGCCAACGTTTATATTTAGAGACAGAACAGGATATCCTTGTGTTCTCATGATTAAGAAAATATCCCATTTCGTAGCAATATGGAAAGTATCTGATCTTAAACTTTTCTCTATAGTTTAAGGGGCCTGTTTTGAAAGATTCAGAATAAAGGGTGCTAATGTGCATGACCAGTGTTGAAGGTGATCTACAAAGATTGCTGTGCAAATGTTAAGGTGTGCAAACTGTTTTGGTTCCACCCATAATAAAGAGCAGATTCTACAGGTTCTACTGTTAGTTGAAAGTGGTTGTAAAAGAAAGAGGAGGTTCTAAGCCATATAGTTGGAGGTAACAATAATAAAATAATTTTTAAAATGAT